GTGGCGGTGATGAGAATAGCCAAAAGACTCGCCTGCGCTATTCTCACCCGGGGTGAGAATAGAGGTAGCCCAATCGGAAACAAAAACGGAAGTCGAGTAAAAATGCTGGCTGAGCTCTCTCTTAAAAAAAACAAAGAAAATAAATGTATTTTCTTCCAACAAATTACCTAAGTTTCTCACAATTCCCAATATCACCATACTTCCAATAGGCCCCTCTAATATATTTTACATTATTAATAATATAAGCTAAATAGAGAACTATGGAGAACTTGCCCAGGGAAAGAGACAAAGAGGAAGGCCAAAATTGAGGTACAAAGACACCTGCAAAAACAGCTATCTAAGCTTGGAGTAGATTTTAACAGCTGGGAAGAAATAGCTCTGGACCGGAAAACATGGAGGAAAATTATAAAGGAAAAAACTAAAATGCTAGAGAACAGCCTTAGAAACAACCAGGCTGAGAAGCGCCAACGACGAAAGGAAAACAGCGGAAATACAGAGCTTCGATCTATGACACTGACATGCAAGCACTGCGACAGAATCTGTGCTTCAAACATAGGAAGAATTAGCCATGAAAGAAGCTGCATGAAGACAACCTTGAGACCATCTTAAGCTAAATTGACTGTCTGCATAGACGAAAAGAGCCATACATTAATAATATAATTGTGGGGAGGAGTTCCGCAGAGGGCCGGCACTTACCCTGACAAAAGGTCCACTGAGCAGTCTCCAAGAGTTAGTCTAGGGTTTAGGGTTAAGGTTAGGGTTAGGGTATACCCCGCTCAAAATATTCCCTCTTTGTTGTTAATGTTAATGTTGGTCGGCCGGCCCTCTGTGGAACTTCCTATTTGTGCACAGTAGACTTTATTTAATAGGAAACTTTGGTATAAATTTACAGTCATGCCTGTATCATGTTCAGGTGTTTAGTGCATTTTTTGTTAATCTTTATGGTTTACATATATGTATTTTGACTTTTAAATGCCCTCAGATTAGTTTTTGAGTTATTCAATGTTTTTATTAGAATTATTTTACAATAGGCCTAATTGTGCAGTTAGTAATATTTTGTGTGTTTTTTTTAATGGGGGGGGGGGGGGGGGGGGGAATGCCACAACCTCCCTTGAACCTCATTCTATAAAAATCTGTCAAAGCATCCGTCTGAGATTGACAATAAGATTTTTAAAAAATATTTTTCACAGGTTGGCGGTTCCGCACATTTTATTATATATATATTATTATTATTAGAACAACAAATAGTAAAAGAGTTTCCTCTCCTTTTTTTTTCTTGTCATTACCTCTGTGCTCAACACAAAATCTGCTTCTCACGAAGAAATTGTTTGTGTGATCAGCGTTTTACTGTCTACGTATTGTAACATGCTATGACTATGATTTCTTTTTGTGCATCCCCAGTGGATGTTATGCTTCACGCACCTCTGCGAGACCACCTTGGTACGAACTCTGACCTCCGAGTGGAAGTCATGACCCTAAGTCTTCAGTTGGACACACTGTTCAAGCAAGAGATTCTCTCTGTGAGTACACACGTAAAGATAAAATGTATGTGTGTGGAGACGCAGTGGAATCAGGCGCTTGTCCATTTTAGGGCATATATGGAGTTATTGATATCATAAAGATTATAAATTCATTTATCTTGCTTTTGACGGAAAAACTTTCCCATCTATCTTGAATAAAAGTAGAGATTTTTGTGATTAAAGAAGGTGAAGTCACCTGGTGTCAGAGGTTAAATTAGTGAGAAAATGGCCATCAAAGTTACTGTCTTTAAAAGCTTGAGTGTCCTTGGAAATTGCAAATTTACATTTTTTGTACCTTTGATCTATGTTTTTCAGTAAAATCCACACAGAAATGTCACTAAATGTGTTTTTAAAAGGACGTAAAGGGTGTTATTTAAAAATGGATAAAAATTGCCCAATGAGCGGAAAAATGCTTGTGAGGTTTTTTTTGGTTTATTATAAGAGAGTGGGGAGGGAAGAGAGAAAGGGAGGAACATGTTGAGAGAGACTGCAGTTGTTTTTTTTCTCTCCTGAAAAGTAATCAACTGCCTCTTAAGTGATTTGATTATTTATAACAACGTTATAACGCCCACTTTGTAGTTATATTATTCTGATCAATCTTCTTTTTTTTTGGATTTAACAGGTGAGCATGTTAAAGTTGATGCTGTTCTTAGTATTTATTTCAAGTGTAGATATATATATCCAGAAATAAGTGACTTGATTAAAAACCCTCTGTTCGCAGCATCCCTCTCACAAGATTGATCACGGGAAAACCAGCAGCTCCTTCACGGACAAAGGTGAGGGTTTCCAGGGAATCTGGCTCTATTGAGTATCTCATTAAAAAATGTAAAAAAAAATTTTGGTAAATGTTTTACGGCTCTCGCAACTGCCTCAGGTCATATGAGCGCGTGGGACACACGTAACATTTTCAGTTGGTAGGAAATTTTGAATTTTGCCCGCGCGATGGCCAAAGTCTACTCTTATCGATTTTAGACCACCGAGATTTTTCTCCCTTGTCCGAGAAAGCTAGGTGTAGATCTTTCCTACCAGAAGATCAGGGGTGTGGCTGAAAGACAGCAGTAAGGAGGAGCCAAGGAGGAGCAGTAGAAAGGCTACAAAAAAAGTCAGGAGTCCAGAGGAGGGGGCAAAGGAGGTGAGGGGATGGGGGACAGAAAGAGGAGAGGAAAGCAGATGACAGAACATTGCTAGAGAGAAGGAAAGGAGGTGAAAGGAGACAATTTTAGAGAAGAAAATTTTTCGGTCGCGACCTGGATTCGAACCCGGGACCTTTGAAGGAGAGGCCAACACCTTAACCTCTAGGCCACGAGAGCCCCCTGAGTATCTCAGTGACACCTGCAATACAGTGCAGTATGGGTACTTCTTCCTGCTGCTTGTACACATAACTTATTGATTGGTCATCTCCTGCACAATGGCAATAGGGACTGTTTCCATTTATAGAGGTTGCTGCATTTCAGATTCAATATGTATTGGTGTTCCTTGATGATAACCCAAGCCAATGTGTGCAAAAAAATCAAAATGGCGGATGGTGAGTGCAATAATTATAGGCTTTTATGTAGCGGTTTATGAATTATTGAAGATTTTATACAGGGTGACTCGATACATGCTATGTCATTTGCCTCTGAATTTCGTTCCTTTTACTTTTCCTATTACCCCTGTTAATCATATAGTGCATCGTGTCTCATAATGTGTACACAATGTCAGTGAATTTAAGCTTTTTGTTTGTTTTTCATGAGTTCTTTGTGAACTCCAGGTACTTGAGGACGCGCTTGTTCCATGTCCTGTCTTTCTAACTGATCTTTTACATCTTTCCGTAGACTCACATTTCAAGGGCCTTTATCATTAGCATTTCTTTTGCAGCAAATGTGGTACACAGTCACCTACAGCAAACCTTGGCCAAGTCGCACAACCCAAAACCCCCAGAGGTGAGAGATTTGTGTATATCTGCGTTGCAGCTCAGTCCATTTTTGGCAAGTTCTGTCTTATTGGCACCATACAGTATTGCGACCTCAGGGCTCTCCTGTCGTATTTCCCTTTTTTTTTAAACAGTGAGAATGTAACATCTTCTTAAGCTCACTCTTTGTTATGAGCAGTTTTCACTGGTATTAAAAATGGAGATACGACAAGAAAGCACTGGGGTTCGCAGTATCCCTGAAAACGGACGTGTTGAAAGTGACTTTTATAAAGATTGGCCTAAAATTGTTTCTTGTTTTTGTGTCGTGAAAAAAGGTTGTAAATGAACGAAAATTGTGTTATTGGGGGGTGTAAAACATTTTATATTCTTTCACGATCATTTAACACTGACAAGCAAGTAAACTTCAGATGAAAAAAAAAAGCTCTTGGAGACATTAAAAGTACTTGACCTGAATTTCCTTCCTGGCTTTAGTACTTGTGGTTGGTGTAGATTTGCCCAGCTTGGAGTTGATTTCAAACTAATCAAAATGTTGTGTTGAGAATTACAGCTGATTATGCTGAAACAGTGTAGCTAACAGTTGGCTTTTGTACCTACTTTGTTTTGTTTTTTTACTCATCCAGGTGTTTTTGCAAGATAGTTGCTTGGATCGTTTGTTTCCTCGTGTAGCAGCATATTTGTGTCAGCCCAACCAGTTGTCAATCTCGTACAAGAAAACAGATGTTGACAGTGAGTATGCCCCCCCCCCCACTCTTTGAACAAGTTTGGTTACATATGTATGTGTGATGTACGCACGAGCAAAGAGTGGAAAGAAAATGTCTTTACAGGTCGGAAGTTTGCTACAAGCTTCCAGCCAGTGTGTTGGCCAGGTGTTTGAACAGTTCGAGAACCAAATGTAGGTTTTTCTCATAAGAAATAGTAGAGTCTTTTAGTTTACAGACATACATGTATTGTTATATATTCCCACAACCAGCCATCCTGGCCTAGTTTTTCAATGATGAAAAAGTGAGGTCTAGAGTCTAGAGGGTTGCCTCCTGTGTCATCACTTGGCTTGATTGATCTCTCACAAAAAAAATCATTGCACCATGTCGCGACCTCCGTGTTTTCTTATCCTATCTCCATTTTTAATAACAGTGAAAACAGTTCACAACAAAGAGTGAGCTTAAGAAGAAGTCACATTTTCAAAGTTTAAGAAAAATGGAGATAGGTCAAGAAAACACTGAGGTCGCGATATATATAGGCCTCACTCGACTTCCTCTCTGCTATTAGTCAAAACATCCACTGTCAGCTGCTCTTAAGCCCCTGAGCTGCTGCACAGAAAATGTCAGTGTTTGTACAAACAGGTGACATGATGAGAAAAAAATGTATTGAAAAATAATTCTCAACTCATTGAAATCCTTGGGGGGGGAAATACAGAAATAGGAGCTAAATTAATAGTCATCAAAATTTTTTGTCTTCCCTTTTTCCCGTAATCCCACTCAGACCTGATGTGTTTTCCCTCCCCCTTTCTCTCTCTCCCGTGCAGACTATCTGTGTCAACTGTCTGCCCTTCACCACACTCTGGCTTTGGCACAGCAGATCCAGGGAGATGTGATCAGCCAGCCCAGGCCAAAATACCTGGCTCATCAACTAGCAGTCCTCTATGTAAGACTACCTGTATTTTGTTGTTGGTTTTCCTTGTATGTTTACAGTCGGCACTACGTAGTCTGAGTTCATCAGATTTTCCCGAACAATTGGTCGCTTTTAAGGACAAGCGGGCTAACCCAGATTTCAGGGGTTTCTGGAAATCTTGACCTGCACCAAAAGTGGCCATTGCCCTATCTATAGGAGAAGTTTGGTTTCACCAGTGTGTATATTTGTTTGGTTATAGAGAAAACTCTCCTTGTCTTTTAAATTAAAAAAAACTGAACAAGGGGCAAAAACTTTATCTTTGATTTTCTCAAAACATAATTTTTCGGGATAGCCCCCTTGTGCTTAATAATAGATAATAATAGATAGCATTTGTATAGCGCAAATCCCCGCTCAACAGCAGGCTCTATGCGCTTTACACTATATTATTACCCCAGCAGACCATAGAACACTCCGAAACATTCTCAGCTTCCCGGGAAGCATACAGTGCAAGCAGCTGAATAAGCGCTCAAACACTAACATACTGACAAGATCTTTCGCTGTCTATAGCCGGGTACCCATTCCCACCTGGGTGAAGTGAGGAAAATTCGTGTAAAGTGCCTTTCCCAAGGACACAACGTCGGGACCCTGACGGGATTCGAACCCACGACCTTACGGTTGCGAGTCCGAGAGCCTAACCACTAGGCTTAAAAGCGACCAATTGATTCAATTTCTTAACGCTTTGCAGTCACACAGCCAGCAGTACAAAATACTCCATCTGGTCACCCAGCCAGGAGTGTGACTGCAACGGACTACTTGGGCCTGGCGCAGTGACTGGAATGGATAATTTTCTCCGGGGCATTATTGTGCCTAGTGACCACAAATTGTTTAATGTCGTGTTTTACTATCGTATCCATACGACGTGGGGAACTCTGTGCCACCACTTACCAAAGAGGGCATTTACTCATTAATCCGATCCGTACGCTTTGCATAGCAGTCTGTCAAAATGAGTTTTTGAGAAATACTGAAAGTTTCAAAGAGATCCTCGTACTAGAAGTATTCTAAAATGTGAAGAAGACGACCCCGGGGGTACAAAATGACCCCAGGGCGTATGGATAGGGTTAACTCCTCGTCTCAGTGTTGTCAGGATGTACAGGTGTCCCCCCCCCACCCCATCCCACCCCCGATATCAGCTTATTTGTATTAATAATTACTTGGTTAGACCTGATACTTAAGTGCTATGCACCCCGCATAATTTAGCAAAATTTGATCATTTTTTGCATAATTTCTGATTGTTTTTCTTTATCATTCTTTGTAAAAATTAACAGAATCGCATAATTTCTCATTTTTTGGGCTCAGTTCGCAGAATTTCATAATTTTTTTGGCATAAAACAGCGGGGACAGCTTTATAAATCTCTTCATAGATAAAAAGTACTTAAAGAAGCTGGAACATTAATTGGAGTGGTATGTGCTTTCGAATGAATTTTGGGTGAAGTGACCATAGAAGAGAATGTGAAGTGAAGATAATTGAGACCTTGGTTCCTGTTTTATGAAATATCTTTACATTTTTAAGTTAGGTTAATATGAAAACTGTTCTTTGAAAAATTCTTTCAAAATTGTAAAAAAATTTCTCCTCAGCAAACCATCAGCGCTATCCCGTCAGGCTCGAAATCCTTAGAGCGACACAGAGCAAACATTGAGGAAAACTTCAAAGCTCTGAAGACGTCCATTGCTGAGATCACTGAGGACGAAGAGGAAGAGCTGAGCTCAGAAGTGAGAGAATGGTGAGTCGTGGAACATGTTTTGGGAATTGTGAGGATGAGGAGGAGAAGGGGAAAGATAAAAGGTTGACCAGAAATGGCCTATTTAGAGACTCTAATAATTCCTCACATGATGTGTTGCCATTGGGTAGGAAAAGGCGTTGTATTGATTTGTTTTTTTTTAGAATGTCAAGAACTGTTTTCGGGCCTCAGGTGTGTTGGGTTTGGTACAGATTAACATTTTGCATTGTTTTTCTTCATTATTGGGGAAAACGGAATAATTTGTTTGGGGGCATAGCATTCTAGAAACCAAGAAGTGCATGGTCTTTTGGTTTCGTTAAAGCCTTTAAAATGATAGCAGGAATTTACTATGAAGGGGGCTCGATTCTTACGGGACAAAATTTTTAAAATAAAGACAAACTGAAACAACTTTTGTTCCAGGCAGTAAGTACGAGACAAAAGATTCATGTTCAACTGTTGACACACTCGATTACGTAAGCCGTTGCCATGGAAACGGCAGCCATCTTGAAAATTGAATAGAAAATAGTGGGTATTTTTTTTCTCTACAGTTTTTAACATTTTTAAATTCTGTAACTTGCAAAATGTCACAAATAAATAGGTGCTTGGACATGAAGATAGGTATTTTGATTTTTGATACTGTACTTTGAAAATATCCACAATTGCTCTCAAATTTGGGGATACAGATTTTGATCTTATAAAAATAATTTTTGGCATGAAAAAAAAATTGTAGAAAAAATTCTAATGCAAAATGTAAAAACTGACCAACCCACTACAAGTACAAACCATTTCTCTAAGTACATGCCAAATTTCAAGTCTCTTTGTTCGAAAATTTAAAAAAAATCGTAGAACCCCCCCCCCCATGTATACAAGCAAAAAGTAGTGAAAATGTGTGTTCTGAGAAAGACAAGGTTAAACATCATACATGTTAGCACACAAAGTAGAGTCCAATAAAATTGAAAAGTCCACTTTGGGAGGGTGTAAAAATCGAAATTGTCTCAAAATTTGGACTGGGAGGTGGATTGCTTGCTATAGTGACGATTTCTACTGATGAACAGCATGAACCCGCTTCGGTGTTGTGTACACTTTACAGTACGAGGAATAAGTTTTGGACAACAATTGCCCTAATTGGTCGCTTTTAAGCACAAGTGGGCTATCTCGAAAAATGCTGTTTTGAGAAAATGGAAGGTAAAGTTTTTGCCCCTTGTGCAGTTTCTTTAAAAGACAAGGAGAGTTTTCTCACAATAAAATTGAAGCTTCGAAATGTTCTTTTTGATGAACTCTTTGAACCCCATCAGACGCTGGGAACGTCCAGTACTACTGATAACTGTTTCGTTTTATTTAGTGCTAGTTTTTGCTTGTTTTTCGGAACTATTCTCGAACCAAGTTTTTTAAAACCCAGTACTACTGATAACTGTTTCGTTTTATTTAGTGCTAGTTTTTGCTTGTTTTTCGGAACTATTCTCGAACCAAGTTTTTTTTAGTAATGACTAAGCCTTTGTTTCTGCTATTTAGAAGTTGGAGGCAAGCTTTTGGGGTTATAATGAGACCTAGTGCACTAGATATTTAGATGACTAGAAATAAACTTCAGGAAACGGTAGAAAAAACTCAGGGCTTAAAGAGTTAAAAGTCAAAGATTTGTTCTTGCTGTTTCCTCCATGCAGGGTGACAGAGCTGTGTGACAGTATTGCTCAAGTCATCTCCTCTCTGCCAGCTGAGATAACCCAGGAACTCGGACCACTGGCTCTCGTCCTGCAGGACTGATGTCGCCACTGTGTGTGTGTGTGTGTGTGTGTGTGTGTGGGGGGGGGGGGTGTGAGGGTGTGGGTGTGTGTGTGTGTGTGAGCGTGTGTGTGTGTGTGTGTGTGAGCGTGCGCCATGTACAAGTGTGTGCATGTACATGAGCGCGTGTGTGTGTATGTGTGTGTGTGTGAAGAAAGGAAGAGTAAAGGAGAGGGAGCAGCTATGTCATACACATTGTCATGCTTGTAACATGCTCTGATCTGTGTTGCTGTTTGTATGTCTGTGTGTCTGTTTGTTTGTCCCACTGATTTAAGGGAAACTGAAATAAGAGGAGCAATTGATTGTGTAAGGCTTAGGGCAGGGGCCACCAAACTTTTTTCAAAGTAGACTGCCGGATAATTGAGTTCCGCGAGAATGCCGAATGTGGACCGAATATCTATTATGTTCAATGGAGCACACTGATGTGTGAAATAAAAGATTTATCACATTAAAGTTGAGCAAGAATGTGATATATTTGCTAGAAGTGAGAAATTATGAAATTTTTAAATTAACGCTTTGCCATCACAAGGCTCATACTGTATAAACCCTTGCTATCAAAGGCAAAAGCAGTTTGAGGAAAAATCCAAAGAAACTGGGTGGTAAACATCGCCGATCGGCGAGATGTGATGGCAAAGTGTTAAACGATTAAACTGATTAGGTGACCAACTCATGAGCACATTAGACGACATCATCCAAGTTTTCCCCCCCCCCCCGCACGGTGACATGACTGAAAGATGGGAAGAACTGACCTCACAGACTGAATCTGGCCCGAAAGTCGTAGTTTGGTGACTTCTGTTTTAAGGGCATAGCACTGTGCATATTTTTGTCAAGCAAAAATATGAATCTCTTTTTAAATGTTCATTCCATTGTGTCATGGTTCACTTCTGTTAGTGTGGGTGGTTGGCGGGTGCTCTGGTGTGGTTTGCTCCTTCTTTCCTCTTAAACAACTATCGTCCTTATCTCTCCTCCTTCTTTTTTATGTTTGTTACTCTCTTGTAACACCTCTAAACTTCTGGCGCTCATATGACCTTATGCAGTTGCGAGCGCCGTAAAAACCTCTACTAAAACAAACTTTTGATATTGTCTCTCCTGTTGTTTGTGTCCCTTTCTGCTGCATCTGTTGAATGTGTGTATGAACGCCTGGGTACGTATACGTGCACCTGGGTACGTACGTACATATGTGTTTTTATATATATGTGTGTACATGATGCACTTCACCTGCATTGACTGGGTACGTACGTGTATGTGTTTTTAATATATATGTGTGTACATGATGCACTTCACCTGCATTGACTGGGTACGTACGTGTTTGTGTTTTTATATATATGTGTGTACATGATGCACTTCACCTGCATTGACTGGGTACGTACGTGTATGTGTTTTTATATGTGTGTGTACATGATGCACTTCACCTGCATTGACTGGGTACGTACGTGTATGAGTCAGGGATGCCACTTTTCCGCTTTTTTTTCGGTATTTCCGGTATTTTGATCCTGATCCGCTATTGAGATCGAGATAGAATCTATAGTTGGGAACAAAACAAACAAAAAACCCCTCGCACACAACAACAACTTGCGTCAAATGTTCAAATAACGGGAAAATGAAGACTTTGCCATTAGTTCAAATAACGGGGAGAAAAATGTTTGTTTGTCATTTCTCTCTATGTACACCCTTTGGGTTTCAAATTGATATTCGTATGTTGGCGAGACCGTGGCGCATGGATTTTCAGCTATTTTCAAAAAAGTTGAGTAGCATCCCTGATGTGTTTTTATAATATATATATGTGTGTACCTGATGCACTTCACCTGCATTGACTGGGTACGTATGTGTGTGTGTTTTTATATGTGTGTATGTGATGCACTTCATCTGCACTGACTCTTGATTCCATCCAGTCCCATATATTGATGACATTAGAACATATGTTATTGCGACATTCCACGTGACGTATTTGGGACCAATTACTTAGTGTGGATTTTGTTTTTCCCCAAACAAGAAATTAATTTTTCATGCTTTTTATTGTTATATATATTTCCTTCAAGTCCCAGAGTACCCAGGGAAAAAAGTAATTCCTATATCGATTGTGTTACTGTTATGCTCTATACTATTACTATACGTATGCCTGGCTTCTTGAAACATTTTCAACCCAAAAGAAATCTCCCGATTTCAATGATGTGAGAAGCTACAAAAGTTAGTCTTTATTATGCATGCTGACTCCTGATTTTTGTTGAGAAGCTACAGATCGACTGACGTTGATTGTTTTTCACCCAAAAAAAAAAAAAGAGTTGTCCTGTTTCTTGCAGCTACAGACTTCAGCATAAGTTAAGGACCACTTGCAAATTTGGTAGAAATTCCCCGAGGATTTCTGTGCTGCATGTTGTGGTTTTGCCCCTTTAAGAAGCTTTGCAGTATGCATTGTTTACCCATTGACACTTTCAGAGCAAAAAATGTTGAAACATTCCTTGCTGTCTTTTTTTTCGGATTTTATCAAATCAGGGCTGTCTGTCAAGGTGGTCCTTAACTTATGTTGAAGTCTGTACATGGTTAGAGTGAAAGCATAACACATCGATGTTTGTCTCACATATCAGTCGTACTTTGACTTTCTAGCAACTTTATATACTGAATACCTGCTGTAGAAAGATTTCTTGAGTGTGCTCAATTTTTAAAAAATTAACTCAGGATTTTTCTTTTCTTACTGTAGAAAAAAATAAAAAATCCAATGGTACAAATAAGTGCCAGCGTGAAACACAATGGCTTGGTGGATGTGGTATCTCTCGACTTGTCCCACAAGCATGATTTTTTTTACTCATAATACCTTGCTGTCTGGAGGATGCTTTGTAGCACTGTTAACGAAATCCATGGAGATTTTTTTGTTTTGTTGTTTGCCATAGATACCCGAGTATTGGAGTTTCAGTTTTGACTCTTTGGAAGAAGTCCAGTGATGGAGGGGAGGAGAAGGAGGTTTGCTAGCAGAGGTGTCTAATTTCATTTACAAAAATCAGTCCACAGAATTTGCCCCATTAACTCTTACCCTTTTGAAAAGTAGTAATTGGTCCTTTCATGTGGAACAGATTACCCACGGAACTAAGACAAACAAAAAACACTTGATAACTTCAAAAGACATCTTAAGCATTTTCTGTTCCTACAAGCCTATCCTTCATTAGCTTTTAAAGTTATTATTTTTTTGTATTATAGTTGTTCTGTGCCTATGTCTGAATGAAAATAGTCCATGTGTGTGTGTGTGTGTGTGTGTGTGTGTGTGCATGCATAAATATTATTGCATGAGAAGAAAGGAAGTAGTAAGAAAGGTTTTGAAAAATGGGTATTCCAATGTAAATCGCATTGAGCTACTTTTTTGGAAATGCGCTATATAAATGTTATATATTATTATTAATAAGCCCACTGTTACCATAGAGGAAGGCCTATACTCTGCTCACTTTTCACATCTTATGTATGGAGTCAGGGTAAAAGGAGTTTGAAAGTTAGCACAAGTGAGTTTTTTCTTAAAAGAAAAAGATCAAGTGAAAGTTTACATAAGTGAGGTTTTTTTTTCTCAAAAGAAAAAGATCCAAGTGATAGTTAACGTAAGTGAGTTTTTTTTCCTAAAAGTAAAGAAAAGGATCAAGTAAAAGTTAACGTAAGTGAGTTTTTTCTGAAAAAAGAAAAAGATCAAGTGAAAGTTAACATAAGTGGGATTTTTTCTTGGGGGAAAAAAAAAGAATCGAGTGAAAGTTAACACAAGTGGGGGTTTTTTCTTTAGAAAAAGAATCAACAAAAAGGAAAAAGATGAAAAACGGGCATGGCTGTACCAAATATATACATTTTATAAGGTAAATCTAGAAGGATTGTTGGGGGAGCAGACATCTCGATCAGCAAAGTGCACTGAGCCCCCCACCAGGGCAGTGCTACTGACTGAAGTTGTCTTTAGGACATTCCCAAAGGGGGAATATTAACATGTTCTTATGCACAGTAAAATTGTAAATGGGCTGATTTATCAATGTCGTGCTCATACTGTGCAGGAACAACATAGGGGGAACTGCAGCTTTTTCTTTCCTCATCCTTACTATCATCATTTTTCCTCTACTTCTTTTGTATGTTTGTCACTCTCTTGAGAACTGCTATTTCCGGGGTGCCTTGATGATCGAAGCAGACTTTGTGCTGTTGAGGATTGAGAGGTGAGCAGAGTAGACCTGATTTCCCCGTTTGGACTTCTCTGTTGACTTCCACTCCTTGGCACTCATGTCATATGACCTTATGCAGTTGCGAGCGCCGTAAAACCTTACTAAAACTACACACCCTTTGTCACTCATCATATGACCTTATGCAGTTGCGAGCGCCGTAAAACCTTACTAAAACAAAAAAGAGTGCACTGTTGATGGCCTGATGTTAAAGCATTCCCCTGGACGAGCTTCTTTTAAAAAAGTCAAAAAATTGTTTCTTCCTCTGTAATGTGATTATATTTGTCTGGGAAGTTTTCTATGTACATTCTCACCCCTCTGTTACAAATGCAATGTAGCCGTCATTTTTTAATTTTTATTTCAAGATGTTCAATTATTATTTTGGTACACCATTAAACTTTATTGATATTAATTTTATATTGATACAATGTATGTTGATAAGTTACATGTTCAGATGAGTTTTACAATTTATGTTTAACGTACAAGTTTCGCTTTCATTTTTCCTACTCATACTTTGACATTTGATTTAAAAGTTGAAATGTTGTTTTTAATAACATGTTCCTCTGTTGCACAGTATTGTTATGTTAAGTTTTACCTATTGAATTGATTTTATAAGTTTACATGTCCTGTCCTAAAAAGATCTTTGTCCCGCTGCACAGTATTGTTATATAAATATAATATATTGTGATTTAACTTTATTTTTTTTGCTTTTAGTTTTAAGTGGGACTCATTTCTTATACTCCACAGCTGCATCTCCTTCATTTTTCCATCATATCAAGTGTGCCATTGTTCGCTGCCTTTTGGCTTGCCACAATGCTTTGAAAATCTCAAGTATTATCCTCCTGGCACCTCCCACTGAAAGATAGCTACGACATTTCAAGTCCTGTCCCCGTGGTTTTATGCACCCCACATAATTTAGCAAAATTTGATCATTTTTTGCATAATTTCTAATATTTTCCTTTACCAGTCTTTGTTAAAATTAACAGAATCGCAGAATTTCACATTTTTGGGCTCAGTTTGCTTATAATTTCAGAATTTTTCTTGAATAAAACAACGGGGACAGTAGTATATTATATTGTAATTTATCTTTTTAAAAAAAATTTTTTTTTTAGGTTGGACTCATTTCTTGCACTCCGCAGCTGCATCTCCTCCATTTTTCCATCAAGTGTGCCATTGTTCGCTGCCTTTTGGCTTGCCACACTGCTTAAAAAATCTCAAGTGATATCGTACCCTCCTGGCACCTCCCACAGAAAGATAGCTACAACATTGCAAGTCCTGTCCCCGTGGTTTTATGTACCTCACATAATTTAGCAAAATTTGATTTTTTTTTCTTCATAATTTCTGATTATTTTCTTATATCATTCTTTGTTAAAATTAACAGAATCGCATAATTCCACATTTTTGGGCTCAGTTTGCATAATGTCAGAATTTTTCTTGCATAAATCGACGGGGACAGTGAGTCTCTCAGCACCAACTCCCCAGTTTTCACATTAGGTTTGACTGAAGTTCACTTCTTTTACAAGTGGGTGGTTGACGGGTGTTCTGGTGTAGTGTGCTCCTTTTCTGTCAAATGTTTATTGTATTTTTCTCTTTCTCCCTTCTTCTTTTCTGTTTGTGACTCTCTTGTACTTGTAACACTAACACCTCTAATCTTCTATACTTATATCACCTAATTGTGTTGCAAGTGCCGTTAAACTCTCACGGACCTGAACACTTTTTTTTGTTTCTCATTTGATCTTTGTCTTGCAAGGGTATTGTTTTTCATCATCTATTAAGTTCTTTTCATTTGCTTTAAGTTTTGTAATTAAAAGCCAGTAAAGGTTTAGTCCAGGTTTCCCTTCTTATTACGAGTTAAAAATCATGTGTTGTGCGTGACGCCATGCCTACCCCTATGTTGGCCCCACAGAGAGTGGAGACCACAAATGTGTCAACATCTAATGAGCTGTGCCCGGGGTTTTATGCACCCCGCATAATTTAGCCAAATTTGATCATTTTTTTGCATAATTTCTGATTAATTTCCTTTATCATTCTTAGTTAAAATTAACAGAATGGCATAATTTCCCATTTTTGGGCTCAGTTTGCATAATTTCAGAATTTTTTGGGCATAAAACCGCGGGGACAGAATAAGTCAAGGAAGACTCAAGTGGAGACCTCAACTAGACCTTTAGCTGAATTTTTAACTAAAAACTTTTTTTCTCACTGATATTGGCTTGAATCACTCCGAAAAATAATTAAATACGGTTTACATTGTGAATAAGAGAGATCAAAGGATGATGTTTTTCTGTTTGGTTGTTTTTTTTTTGAATGCTTTTTTGTGTTTTTTGTTTAGTTGGTTTTGTTTTTATCTAAAAACTTATAACTTATACGCACTGTTATTGGCCTGAATCTCTCAGAAAAATAATTAAATACGTTTTACATTTTGAAGAAAAGAGATCAAAGGATGATGTTTTTCTGTTGGGTACTTTTTTTGGTGCTTTTTTGTGTTTTTTGGGTTTTTTTGTAGAAAGTTTTCCTCATTGTTATTTGCCTGAATCACTCAGAAAAATGATTAAATACGGTTTACATTTTTAAGAAGAGAGATCAAAGGGTGATGTTTTTCTCTTGGGGGTTTTTTTCTTCTTTTTTTTGGTGCTTTTGCTGTTTTGTGTATTTTGTTTTGTTGAGGGTTTTTTTTTTCAATTCACGCTTTGTCAAATTATTACATGCTGCCAAAATGTGTCAGGCAGAGATGATTGGTGTCTTTAGTTTGTGGAAAAGCTCAAAAGCTCAACTGATCAGACAATTTTGAATAAGAGAGATGAAAGGATGATTTTTTTTTTGGTTTGGATTTTTTGTTGTTGCGCTTTTTGTGGGTTTTTAAAAAAGTTTATTTTCTTTTCTTTTCACACTTTGTCAAATTATTACTTGCAGCCAAAATGTATCACGCAGAGATGATTGTTGTCTTTAGTTTGGGGAAAATCTCAAATGCTCAACTGATCAGACCATCGAATGATGTGAAGAATTTGATTCCCACTCGGGGAAGTTCTTTTTATAGAGAGATGTTTCAAGGAACAGCGGAGTATTTGACACAGCTGGTCTGGCCCTGGGTAGGCAGGGTAGAAACAACAGGCTTTCTAATAATTGTATGTGCGCCAAGAGAAAGGTACCCAAAGTTGCCCCAGACTGTTTCGAGCCACAGGCAGGTAATGATAAAATTAACTTTTTTGACCAAAATGTGTTTCCATAAAAAAATGATAGATCCACCATTTTTTACACTGTTCTCAAAGGGTTTTCATACTTCTAAATTATTTTATTTTGAATTATTTTGAGGGTATGGTATAAATAAAACAAATATAATGAAAACTGCTTTTAAAAGGTGTTTAAATCTATTCTTGAAGCACGTTTTCTCTTCCCTGCTAAAGCTATAGCCTATGTTTTACCATTGAAATTCCATTCATGATATTGATACCTACTGAATGCCAAATTGGAAATGAATTTTCCAAGAATAAATATATTTTAAAAATATTTTTTAAAGGTTTATGTGTTCTCACGTTTGTTAAACTTAAAAGCCCATTTTCTCAAAATCATATTTTTGTACCCTACCTCGCAAATTCTGCAACATCTTAAAAACTACTTGAGATATCTAAATAATTCAAAGACCCCTGTGCTCAGCATTGAATTTCCTGTAAGGTACAATTCCTAACTCAAAATGGTCAGAATCCGACTTTTGGTACCTTTCTTTAGACACACACACAAATTAAATGCTCAACTGATCAGACCATCGAATGATGTGAAGAATTTGATTCCCGCTCGGGAAAGTTATTTGTATCAAGACCTTTCATGGAAGAGCGGAATATTTAATATTTGACACAGCTGGTCTGGCCCTGGCAGGAAGGGGAGAAGCGACAGGCTTTAGAATTGATCTCATTTTCACCAGTGACAATGAATGTAGTAATGCATGTAACAGATGCAGTAACAATGTCATGTAAGCAATGTTGTAAGGGATACTGAATTAACATGCTCATCATGCACATATCTGTACAGCATGTGTCAAAATGACACACCACTTTTTGTCTGGTTTTTTTGTGCGTTTTTAAAAATAAATTTGTGTGACACATTGTGTTGAAATCAGGCAATTGTCATAATAATTATAATGAAATAGATAAAACCTACATTTTTCCACCTATTGAAAAATTTTGATTGAATTTGTTTTTTTGGGTTTTTTTTGTTTCAACACTTTTCTGTCCGTTACAAACACATTTCTGTTCGTATTTTTTCTGAAAAATGTTGATCAAAGGCACAAAAAATCTACGTTTTCTAGTTTCCAAAGACTCTCAAACTTGGGAAGTTACCAAACCTCGACACAAATTTTCTCCCCAATTTTCTTCTGACACCAGGCAACCCCCACCTCCTTCCATCACAAAAATATCTCTACTTCTATTTAACGGTATCTGTACGCCCTGGGGTCATTTTGTACCCTCAGGGTTGTATTCCTCACATTTCAGAATACTTCTAGTACTAAGATCTCTTTGAAACTTTCAGTATTTCTAAAAAAATAATTGACAGATTGCTATGTAAAGCGTACGGATCGGATTAACAAGTAAATTTCCTCTTTGAAAGTGGTGGCACAGAGTTCCCCTCGTCGTATGGATACGATAGTAAAACTCAACGTACGGATAGGGGTAAGATAGATGGTTATTTTTTTTCATCAAAAGAAAGACAAATGAACAGGCTTTAACCTTAAGACATCAATAACCTCAAAGTCCAAAAATTGATGAGCGCCTGATTCCATCGTGTCATAAAACACGTATACATTTTTCTTTTGGGGTTTTAAAACCAAACTCCACATAATTGGTCTTTTTTTTTGGAGAGAGATACATCGTCCAAGCAGACAGAAGAAGATACTCAATAACACCTCCCCCAAAGGTGAATTGAATTACTAATGTCTTCTACAAGCAATGGTGAAATGTGTAACCACTATCCTTGCCAGCTGTGATTAGTAACTTATCTTATGAACTTCCTGCTGCAGTAGGGACAATTAGAAGAAATCGATTCCTTTCTTTTCCTTATAAATGGCTGGAGAAGATTACTTTGGCAAATGAAAATAATAAATTGAAAAGCAATAAATCAGGGATCACTGAAATTTTTCGGCATCCTCTGAACTTTGAAGGTCAATCCGATCGACTTCCATAATTTATATTTTGCCCCTCCACATCAGTTTTTGAAAAAGCAAAATAAACCAAAATAGAGACAAATTTCACTTACTTTCCTCTTGTGCTTGATTGACTGACTTTGGTCTCGTATGCTTCTGGCTTAAGTTTCACTGGCTGACTGATGTTGGCTTTGGCAGGTACATAAATAATCCATAGGGACAATCTCAGGCTACTCAAGGCCTACCACGGCCCGACCTAAGGCCGAGGCAGAACAACTGCTGGCACGGTTAAGACAGCGGAGTTGATTTTGGGAGTTTCTCGCAACCGCGGAAAATCACGAAACCGCGGGAAAACTGGTATCACTGATATATGCTCCATATCCTTCACAAAGGTTGAAAAATTGTGTCCCGTTATCTCATTATGTTGGGGTCTGCACGCTGGGACCAACGATTCGGTTCACTACAACAACTCTTTTCACTTCTCGTGCAAACAAACAAAATTCAATAAAAATGAAAAAAAAAACAACACACAATGTTCTTTTTTTTCTTTTTTTTTTTTTAAAGTTTTATTTGTTACTTTTAGCCCAATACAAGCAGTAAAACTTATGAACGAAATAAAAATATGACAGTGTAAAGATTTGTCTGACTGGACGCAGCCACGTTGCCCCTTCTGGGATTCGAACCTCGTGCCATGCTCAGGTGAACCACCTGTCGTCACAGTGTGTGGAAACATCCGTGCCTCACCACTCCAAAGTGAGCGGGAGGCCATCACACTAAAGTCAATGGAGAGAGAGAGAGAGAGAGAAGAGAGCTTGTAGAAAACACACTTTTCCCTCCTCATCCTACAATACACGAGCACTCAGCAATCTTTATGTGTAGCAACATCCAAGAATGTCAGCAGCACAGAGCAAAAAGCCCCTCTACTCTGCTAGACACACACACCAAACTTGAGTGAAAATTTGTTGATGGTGGCATTCACGGCTGCAGCCAAGCAGAGAAAATGGTATCCAATGTTATCAAGGAGAAGCAATAATGTCCAAAACTGAGGAAATCTTTATACGAGAATTAATACTTCGAACTAGTAACAATTTTCAACCAATATCTTCACATTCTTCCAATTTTTTTTTTTTTTAGCAAATCCTTTGTCAATCAAATTGATATTTGATTATGTACAAAAATAAACATTTATGTACAGTTTACATAATGAACGACTACTTTGAATACAATGGATCAATCTATGTGTGGCTATGCTGTCAAAAGTCTATAGTGAACAAAACCAGCTCAAACCCCCACAGGTCCAGACCTAGGCGGGGCATACACTCTCAATAGTTGTAGTAGTAGTAGTAGTAGTAGGAAAAACCAAGAGGAGTGAACGACTCCATTCACACTTGTCTTAATCCACACAACGACCCTCTCTAAAAGGCTTCCTTCACAACCTCTATAAAGTGTACATACATGTGTTCCCCAACTGCTTTCCCCAAATCTGTCTACGCTACGGTGTGCACGCCTGTTAGGTGAAATGGAACCTCTTCCAAAATTTGAAGGAACAAGACTTGCATACAAATGAGGGGCAGGCTGCGTGAGTGGATTTCGTTACTTCTTGTATCTCAGCTTAACTCAGAAGACATTTCGTGCTATTTTAACAAATACATTTTTATCACAAGTAAAGGGCTCAAAGTCACTGTCCATCAAAATTATTTATAAAAATAATATAATATTCAATAACATCACACAAGTTTCTCATTTTAAAAAAAAACAACCCACAAACTGTTCACCATGAATGTTGGTTTGGGAAATGAAGAAAATGATTCACTGTACTCATTTCCAACAACAGCATGGTGTCAGCCTCGGTGTACGCTGTGTCTGTGCTGATTGGACGTCAAGTTTTTGTCCCGTGTTGGAGGAGCGCACGTATGCACGCACACACACACACACACAAACACACACGCAGAGCAGACCGAGGCTGAGTTGCCATGATGTGGGAGACACTGATAGCTCCCACGTGCCAGTTACCGCTGGCCCACAGCAGAATGGTGCCAGCTAACACGACTCGTAGAGGAGGGGGCAGGGGGGGGCACTATCCAAGCAATATAATGGACGAAAGTATTGCAAGAACGACAGCAGGACGAAAGGCATTCTGAAACAATTTAAAAAAAAAAAAAAAGTTTGGAATGTACTGACACAATTTGGTTGGATTTTTCATATTCTGAACTGACATTTTTTGCATAGTTGGGAGCGTCTCTCTTCTTCAAAGAGCAACATTGGAGTGAGGCACAGTCACTGCTCATCACATCAAAATATCAGCATATGGGTACTGCCATGATAAAGACAAATATCCAAAAATAAAACTGAGGGTCAACTGGTTGACGATCCTTGCACGAAATGATTTGGAAACAATCCATCGAAAAATATGCCCTGATTACAAAAATCATTCATATTTTCGTACAAGTATGACAGGGTAACTTTGAAAATACAATAATCTCCAACCGTACTAATGTCAAACAAGTACATTATTTTGCATCAACAAATTTCGAATGACATCAAGGGAGAGATATCCCAGTTCATAATAAAAAAAACTTGTAAAAATTTGCATTTAGAACAAAGTACAATCGTCCCTAGGACTTCACGTAAGCACTGGTTGTCATGCTGGCATAAAGAAAAGTTCACTCACGTTTGGCGAGTACGATCAATTATCCCAACAGTACAGTAGCCAGAGACCAACAACGGCTCTTGTTTGAGCAACAGGCCCCCACAAATCACTGATCGTATTAGCTGTCACTGAAACAAACATCTCCTAAAATTACCTTAAGGTCTGTGATCTATCAACTGACGGACAATTCGCATCAGTCTCAGAGCTGGTGAAACAACTAATTTAACCTGAACTCAATAACCTATCTTTACTTCTAGTTCTAGTCCTCACAGAATTTCAAGGAGGCACCCGGTGTTCCCTCAGAAAGTCAAGACAGATGGGGATGATGAGTAAAACCTGTCACAAATAAACCTGTGTGGTTCTAAAGACAGGTTCTCTTATAGAGTCCTACATACTGTACCATATCTATTTTAGTTAATACTATTCTCCCTTTTCACAGCCATTTCATATAATGGTAATTTGGGAGCACTGCTACTGGGTCACAGGTGTATGAAAGAATTGCACAAATTACAAACTCCCTGACACTTGTCTGCCCACAACAGTTCAAGATATACCTAAGATGGAAACCAGTGGTGGTACCCAGTAATCTCTTCCTCCCCCCCAAGATTTCATCTAAGTAACTCTACTTATACCAGCATTAGTCTGTGACAACATATGTGGGGCATCCTGGTGAAATCTGGTGCTCGTCAAGAGGTCGAAAGTAAAGAAACACAATATTTTCCCTCAGTCGGGAAATTTATATCTTTTATTTTGTTTGTTTTGAGCTCAACACCTCTTATGTCCATTTAAAAACACATCTCTTTCTACTGGAAAACGTTATCAAAGGCACAAAAAAACTTAAATTGGTCGTTTCCAAGGAAATCACAGCTTTAGAAACAACAGAACTTTGGTGACCATTTTCTGATTAAATTTACTTCTAATACGGTACCAGGGGACCCCGACCTTCTTCATTTTAAAATATCTGGACTTGTTTTCACGAAATATGGGTCTTTTTTTCCCCCATCAAAGCAAGCCAAATAAAGATGCTCTAAAAATTGACGAGTGCCTGATTCCACCATGTCAAGACACATATGAAGAAACAGCCAATTATTTATTAAACACACAAATAATGTTCTCTTGCGAGTATCGGGACAAATCAGTGAGCGACTGGTGCCAGAGGGCTTTAACTCCGATGTAATGCTAACCCTCAGCAAGCTTGCAGGAGAGAAATTCCCAGCCCCTGAACATTTGGGCCATAGCTGTCACCCTAGGGCTAGGTTAGAGCTATGCTTACAGAAAAGCTGTCTGACTGGTTTTCCCCCAAGGAAGAAACTTTACCCCGTAAGCGAGATCCCAGCTGCATGAAATTCTTTTGTTTGAATGAAAACTGAGCTGCGAAACAGCGCACGAGGATGAATCTATCAACACAGGGAATGGGGAAGAGCAAAATTGATATGCATGTCAGATGTCTTCGCATCTCTGTGAGCATAAAATGTGTATGACAACAAAACAGTTGGCTGACTTTCCACCAACTCATTTTCATGGAAGATGGAAAAAAACTGACCACAACGGGGGCAAAGGATGCAAAATACTTTGCAGATGACAAAATGAGTAAAACCTAAGTCTTTGCTATTCAAAGAAATAACCATGAACAAAAAGGGACAGCCATTTATCAAGCCGTTCACATAGATCACGTGAAAGGAAAAGGAGGAAATGTAATGCTGTTCCACTGTTTCACACAGCTCAACTTACACAGAAAGGTGACAGAGTGAGGGGAAAAAAAGACTGATCCTACACCCATGAACTAACTCCAGACACTGGCTCCTTGCCCTATACACAAGAGACACTTGGGAATGAACATTTCTATTCTGCCTGCAAAATCCTTAAAAATTTACAAAAAGTCTAAAGCTCTCCCTACTGGCGACGAAAAACATCACACTGTATTACATCAATAGAGGAAAGTCGTAAAAGTGTGATAAAAGTTCACAAAGAAAACTGAACAATTACATCAACGGCATGGCAAAGACGCCTTCTATCCATTTTCAATCTAAGCTCCATTAATTATACACCTTGAAATACCTACGGAGACTTTAAAACACGGCTATCCTTTTTCAAACAGCATCCTTGCAAGAAGAACAAAAACACTAGTTTATCAAAACAGTAATGATAGTCTTCAATTACAACAATAATCATTTGTCACGTAAACAACCAATAGATAAATGATTAAACATGTCACTACAAGATTAAATGCCACCTGGCAGATACAAGTTAGAGAGTACACCTGATATGGTTACAAAAGAAAAATAGAGTAAGGAGTAGTCATTACTGCATGAACAATGCTAGTGAATACAAAATTACATTTGTGTACATACACACACAAAGTCAAACTTTAGAAAAATATTTAGACAAAAACCGAGACTGAACGGAGAGCAGTAAAAAAGATACCCTAGAAAAAACTAAATAGATGATTGACCCAATCAATCATAACTGAATGAACGGAGAGAGATAGAATAAAGATAGCATTACTTTATCACGTATGTTAAATGGTCAGGTGTGGTATATGGGAGGAGGACTGTGCATACGAGCCCAGCCATATAATAAGAAAAAACAGGTGGGTCTTTTCTACAAATAGTACACCCCTCAGGCCTGGCTCATCATGGTAGGGGAGGACTCCCCGGAGAAGGGCTATAATGAACATTCTAGACCGGGGGGGGGGGGGGCGCAACATGTAATGCAGTAGAGGGAGCCATATATGACATTCAAAGTTATGATAAGGCATGGCAAAGATCTGTGGCTGTACACAACACTAGAAACACAAACTAGGGTGGAAAACAAAAACAGACCAACGGACGAATGACTTTCGTGGGAAGAAAATCAGTCGTAAATCACAACACTTCTTTTGCATGACCATAAAAATAAAGAGGAAAAAAACAACAACAACAGATCATCATAATCACCACTAACCATGAAGAAAAGAACGACCATATTGCTATCGGTTGAACTTCAAACAGATGACCTGACTGCTGCCCAAGGGGTCAATGGAATATCATTAAAACACACGTAAATTACTGTTTTTGCTTTTTACATGAAAAGATTTTCAAAAATAATATGTTACAATACAACTTATGAAAAAAAAAATCTATATTGTAAGACGAATCTAGCAAACTGTACCAAAAATATAAAGTTCTATAGCCTCATTCCACACTATACCGCTAGTCCTTTTAGTTCCTGCTACCCTACTTTTAGTATTTAGCCTCTAGTAAACCATTTTTCTAAAAACCAAAAATTCTACATTTATACAAAAATTGCAGATTTAGGAAAAAAAGAAAAATTCCCTGCCAAAATATACAACAACAAAAACCCAACAAACAAATGGGTATCTTGGCTATCAAACAGATGATTGCCTTTTCCAATACATGCCACTAATACAATTGTTTTTGCATTGCTTTTCTTTTAACGGCCATTCTACGAGGCAGGCCTGTAAATCATGATGAACGTCGGGGGGGTGGGGGAACGATGATGAAAAATGAACAAAGCACAGAGGAGATACCGTCCTTGCTGCGTTCGAAACAGAGAAATGAAGCAGAGCCAGTTCCACAAGGACTGATTGTACAGATTCCGCTGAAACATCAATGGATTTCCCAGCATCAGAAGTGCACATCAGTCAACATCTAACAAACAAGACATACTTCCAACACAGTTCTTCCTTCTAGTTCAAGGGAAAATATAAACTCAAGAGCCGTTCTACTCTACCTTTTTCTGCATAACTCAGTGGATATACACACTACGAAAGAAAAAGAAAAAGGAAGAAAGAAGGAAAAGAACCCAACCAAACTCGGCTACGCAACGTAAGACCGAAGGAAGTCGGAATACCCGACAAACATAGCGGAGTGAGCGACGGGGCCCGCTGGGCGGCCGGTCAGTCAGTCAGTCGGCGCGACGGGACACAAAAGTTCACACAGTAGTAGTTAGTTAAGTAACGCACAATCAGTATATCACTTTGGCTGTTCAACAACAAAAACCTCAGCAGTAAACACAGGGTCAACAGTAAGCAGCACAACAAGGCAGGCACGGTCAAGACAGACTGAGTGGCCTGGCCAGGGCTTCTCCCGCCCCGACGTGGCTGGAACACAAACAAGCTTCCTTCTCGTTATTCTTCATTAAACACCTTCCACTCAAACGACACAACACGGCCATCACAATCTGGTCCATTCTTGACCGTCACAATGTCATTTAAGAAAATAATCCCTTGTATCAAGGGGAGGGGTGGGGAGGGGTGGGGATTGGGTAAAAATAAAAAGGAACATTGCCTGACAGAAAACTTCACTTCAATAAAGTCTCAAATGAACGATGACAGCTCTTTTTGTTTTTTCAAATTAAAGAATAGACATTGAACTGGTGGTCTCTAGAGTACCATTATCTTTTGTTTGGGGTTCCAAAGAACTCACATTGCTAACAACAAATTTAAAAAATTGAGCCTTTCTTCTTATATGCATTGAAAATTAAAGCTTCCAGGGCAAAAGCCAAAAACTAGCAAAATGTTTGCATGCCAAGTTCTTTGTGATAGATTGGGCATCCGCTGCCACATTCTGAAAAACAAAGACAGCTTTTTAACCTAAGTTTTTACTTCCAGGCACCTGAAACCGAAAATGTTAAGTAATAACTAAATAAATATACACAATGAAAGTACTCAAAAGACCACAGAGAAACCGTATCAATTCTTTCTCACTTAAGGCATATCCATGAGCAAAAAGGAAACATCATCTTATCCTGAAATTGACTTAATATTTCATTTTAAAAAACAAACAAGGAAAATTTGAACAACCGCAAAAAGTGTTCAAGATTCAGAAGCTAAATTTTCCAATTGCACTGTTAATGCAGGATACACCTTCCCCCCTTGCCCTTAGCCTGGCTAACTTTCGTTGACAGCGCTAGCCTTGGGTACTTACTCGTAAGCATTAAACGTTACAGTCTCAACAACATAGGACGACCCTCAAGCTAGGAGGAGTCCACTTGACCACAAACAGGCCCAGGACATAACGTTCCTTTAGTGCCACTGATGTAGTGCAGGCGGAAGATTCCCTATCTCGTACGCCACAAAATGTTTCAACTCACTGGTAGCCAGCATTGTGAACTTGGCATTTTATTTTCAGGTTTGCAGCTCACAACCTTTGCTGCTAAATAAGCTGGTCTGATTTTCATTTATGATTTTCCAATTAAAAAACCAAGTCTTTTCATCTTTACTCCCCTGCATGATAAAACTTAGGAGCAGAAGTCTCTTCAGTGAGCTTTTCTTACCCTATCATACAAGATTGCACTTGATCAAAGCAGCTTACAAACAAACTGAAAACTACTGGTTGCAACTTTTTTGTTTTCTAACTACATGCACACAAACTGAAAATAAAAACAGATCAGATTTGAAACAAATAAGTATATAACGTGATACTCTCTCAATGTTCACAGTGCATTATATATATATTACTTCTTTCAAAAACATGGGATTTTGCTAGGTTTCTGAACTTCCCCAATACAAATGTACAAATGTACTGGTTGCAAATGAGTTTTTTAGTACATTCCAACAGCCAAATGATGCAATTCAGAAAAAATTATATTTTTGCCAATATCTGCTAGATATTTTTACAACAGCAGACAAGTTAAAAACTGTTGCAATCAACAGAATTTCATGACTTGGAAGCACAGCAAAATACACTTCAAAAAGACACTAATTAAACATGACAAGTTGAAGCTTTCTCATATGAAAAGAGTCGTTAAATTCCCACAAAAGGAAAGGCTTATCTTTTTATTCTTACCATTAAAAAAATCTATTCGCCTACAGATAATTTCACAGAAAATACATTTCCACAACACCTTGTTTGCTAGAAATATATTTCAAAAACTTTCAGAACTCATTTTATTTCAATAGTTCGGAAGGTTGATACAATCCGGGTGGGGGTTTATTTCACTGCTTAAAATGAGTACGGTACACAACCATTGAAGAGATGGAACTTATATATTCCATTATAATAACTGTGGTTAGGTCTCGACAGGAACACAATAGCGACGGCCCTGTGCCCACAGTAGCGCGAACGAGTGAAGCACAGCTGATGGTGGGAGACGTTTGGGGGACCCAAAAAAAAAAAGAAAAAGAAAAAAAAGAAAAAAGGGCAGGGGGGGGGGAGGGAAACAAATAGTGAAACTTCCGCTCGCGTTAAAACAAAGATGTAAGTACAAGGATTTAAATATCACTGTGAACACAACAAAGATCTGGCATTTCACATCCAGGCAGATTTCCACAACAAGTTCAACCTCTTCCTACTTCTTCTTCTCCCTCCAACAGCTTCAATACCAATAAATTGAATTCCTACATGAAATTCATATTTTCAATACCAAAAAAGTTATCGCAGCAAAGCAAAATAACAAAATGAGTCTTTCCACACAGGTTTTGCATAGAGTACACGACTCAGGTCTAGGAAAAACATCTTGCTGTATAACAACTGACTCAACCAGCAATAGCAGAAGAGACACATCTTACCATTTAAGAAGTCAAAATGCATAGCAGTATGTATACAAGCATAAAAGCCGGCTGTAGGTCATTCATTAAATAAAAAAACAAACAAGACAAACCTAGAGAATCAACATCCATCTACTGAAATCTAACAGTATCTTCACAAACCTCAAATATTCACAGAAGACAACCTGCAGAGACAACATGGTTTTATTTTTTTCAAACTGAAGCACTCTTCACTGTTCAGTCTTGAAAACGAGGCAGCCTTTCATGTTTAAGTGGATGATGAATAAAATATAGAGAGAGCGAGTAAAAAAATATAGGGTGTATACTTGTATATATAATTCATTTATATGTTTCATCTATATAATTTTTTTTAAACATTAAAAAGTGTATGACAAAGATGACAGATATGGATATGAATGTATGATACAGATGATAACAGGAATATGGTAACATTCTAGCCCATCCGTTCTATCGAGCACATGACCTACTGACTAACTCCCTCACTTTCTAGCAGCTATGTCCCCTGAGAATTTAGCCCATGGCCGTAATATTTGCAGTTGGCCGAAATGTTAAAAATTTGAGTTCGAAATTACAATTAACTTTAAAGTCCTGGTACAACTATCGGTACCAAATTATTATTTTACTTCATGGCAAGTACAAGAACACGAGTGCAAAATGAGTGAAAAGGACAGGAATGTCACCAATACTTTAAAACGTGCACAAATTTGCAATAATATCTTTGCATGACACTTGTCAGAAAGAACTGAACACTGCAACAACAGATATTTCCCACATTCTGGTATGGGCTGAGTAGCCTTGTCCACCACATGTAGGCAAAGTGCTGGATACAAGAAAGGACGGGCAGAATTGCACAACCACAGACTGGCCTCAATACTTTTTAAAGACTGAACAGTTGAATTCTTGCAAAGTGAAAAAACACAGAACACCATTCCCGCAGGACCTGGCGTACTCCGGAAAAACACCCTCCCCCCCCCTACAGCCCAACAAAATAACATAAAACAGTGGGGAGGGGGGAAAAAAGATTCCATTGGTAGATTGAGTGGGGAGACGGAAAGCATATCTCATTGAGTTTTGTGCGCATCCACGAAGACAATCCTTGCATATTTCTGCGACAATGGCATGTCCCTCATCTCCCTCCCTCCATTGCTACTCTGGCTCTCCTCTGATGTCACATAAATGAGGCATGGATGAGGACGGTGAAAGAACAACCTTGGGCATGAGGGAAGAGATGGCGGGTTCGGTTGTACACAATCATGTGGAGGATGGTTGTCGGAACACAAAGTACCACAAAAACGACGACGACGACGACCACGACGACAACGACGACGACGATGACACACAAATAGCTTTTGTTAAGAAGGTTGCAATGACAGCGTGAAGTACCGGTCTGTGTTGGACACACAGGTTTTTTTTTCATTGACAAAAACAGAAAAAAAAAGTTGCCATCATGTAAAGAAAACAACAACGCCATTACAAGGAGGAGGAGATATCTCGTGGTGAAAATGAGGGATGAGGCAAATGACTAATTTAGCTAATTCATATAAGTTACTGTCACAGAGAACATCATACTGATATCCGTTTCTTGGCTGCTGCTGCTGCTGCTGCTTCTGTGAATGACTGGAGTGAACTATGATATCGATGGCGGTGAGGAGGAAGATGGCGGTGCTGGTGATATATTGTAGCTGTGGTGATGAATGCGCAATGAGGGATGTCCAATCTCACAACCATGTTAAGGGATTATCCTTGTTGCCTAAAACTGTCTCAACATCCTTCAGTAAATCGCTGGCAATTTCCTCCTGCAAATACAAACACAAATAAAAAATAACAGTAAATCGCTGGCAATTTCCTCCTGTAAATACAAAAACAAAACAAAAATAACAGTAAATCTCTGGCAATTTCCTCAGGCAAATACAAAAACAAAACAAAAATAACAGTAGATCTCTGACAATTTCCTCCAGCAAATACATACACAGAAGCCAACACACAGTGCGGCTGTGCTGACCCGCAGACAGTGCGCGCTAGGCGAATTGCAAGTCAGACCTACAGAGCCACTCTGGGACCGGCCTTACACGTAGAGGCTGTCTCAGGTGTAGATCAACTTCGACCTACGTAGCAATGCTCACTTCAGGTGTGCGAATGTGTTACACCTGAGGCACAGAACGATCCCCCTTTCTACTTCAATAGAACTGAGCTATAAAGCTATGCTTACCATCACACATTGCTCACAGCAAAGCGAGTCAAAACAGTCACTAGTCTCCATCTGAACCAGTGGACCTTCATTCAATTTATGTAACAGGGATGCCAAAATGATTTTTGAAAAAAAAACATGAAAATGATCGGAGCATCACAGCTCACCTAAAACGTACTTTGTAAAATCTTTAAATGAGCAAACAAAAACATTTCTCTTATCATTCCCCTTTCCTTTGCAAGTGTATGAAAAAGCCGGAAAAACCGGAGATTTGGCATCCCTGTATGTAAAGAGAAGAGAGGGCAGTAGTGGCGTCGGTGGCCTAGTGGTCAGTCTCTCGGACTCGCAACCGCAAGGTCGTGGGTTCAAATCCCATCAGGGGCCCGACGTTGTGTCCTTGGGAAAGGCACTTTACACGAATTTTCCTCACTTCACCCAGGTGGGATTGGGTACCCGGCTATAGACAGCGAAAGATCTTGTCAGTTTGTTAGTGTTTGAGCGCTTAATCAGCTGCTTGCACTGTATGCTTCCCGGGAAGCTGAGAATGTTTCGGAGTGTCTGTGGTCTGCTGGGGTAATAATATAGTGTAAAGCGCATAGAGCCTGCAGTTGAGCGGGGATATGCGCTATACAAATGCTATTTATTATTATTATTAGAGACAAAAAACAACCCAACATTTCCCTCCACTAGGTGCAGCAAGGTGTACAAGGGTCCTACCTGCAAGCTGGGCACCAAATCTTCTGAGTCCATGTTGAGGTGATCTCCTACGTCGTTTACTCCTGCCAAATCCATGCTGCTGAAGTCTGCCTGACCTGTCAGCTTGGGGCCTGGCAATGTTCACACACGGGAAATGGTTTGAGTAAAGAAAAGCATGCAGTAAAAGTCATTTAGCATAACCAAGTTTAGTTTTAGAGGAGGTTTACGGTGCTCGCAACTGCATACGGTCATATGAGCGCCAGAAGATTAGAGGTGTTACAAGAGAGTAACAAACATAAAAAAAGAAGAAAGGGAGATAAGGACAAATGGACGTCTGATAGGAAAGAAGAAGCAAACCACTCCAGAGCACCCTCCAACCACCAACTGGGTAAAGAAAGGCATGCAGTAAAAGTCATTTAGCGTAAGGCAAACAGACAAGACACAAAAGAGGGAAACAAAAGTCGGAGGACATATCAGTGGCATCTTCCAACCACCCACACACAGAAATGGAGAGATAAAGACGGCAGCAACTTACAACTAAAACAACCCACAGAAAGTCATTAAGTTGTTTTTTTATTTCTGCGAACTCAACAACAGGAGTTGCTGCATGTTTTAAAAAAAATATTTTTAAAATTTTAGTAGATGCTTTTACGGCACTCGCAACTGCATAAGGTCATATGAGCGCCAAGGGGTGGGTGTCAATAGAGAAGTCTTTACAGGGAATCAGACTGCTCACCTCTCTAGCTTCAACAGCACAAGGTCTGCTTTGACTACCAAGGCACCCCGGAAATAGCAGGTCACAAGGGAGTGACAAACATACAAAAGAAGTAGAGGAAAATGACAATAGTAAGGATCAGGAAAGAAAAAGCAGCAGTTCCCTGTTGTAGATCAAGCACAGTTATGAGCGTGGCATGAGTCAGCCCATTCACAATTCTACTATGCTTGAACGAGATATGTCGCCCCTTAGGGAATGGCCTAAAGACACTTCAGTCAGTGGCACTGCCCCGGGCGGTGCTGCATGTTTGACAGTAAATGAGCACAATAACATTGAATAACCACCACATTTCACAAGGAACAGAAAATGATACGACTAAATGAAATAGTATGATGAGCAGATCAAAGGCTAAACCACCTGAACAGACAAAATTAAATCAATACCAGTATGTTTTGATGATTTATTGCCATTAATGAATCAAGAACTTAGAACACACTAGCAGTTAATTGTAATCAACTTTAGTTTAGTTTTCGTAAGAGTTTTTACGGCACTTGCAACACAATAAGGTCATTTAAGTGCCGAAGATTAGAGGTGTTACAAAAGAGTAACAAACACAAAAAAGAAGGAGGGGAGATAAATACGATACATGTTTGATAGGAAAAAAGGAGCAATCAACTTTTCACAGAACCAAAATGTTGGGGATCACTAAGTATCCTTACTTCCCCCCCCCCCCCCCATATAAAACACACAAAATTTGGGTGCAGCTGAACTGAAAACAGCACCACAAAAAACACGAGAGACACATATCCCCCCCCCCCCCCCCCCTATATAAACAAAAAAAAATTTTGGGGGGCGGAACTGAAACCAGCCCCCCAAAAAACCCGAGAGACACATTTCCCCCCCCCCCCCCCCATATCAGTACAGCTGAACTGAACAGGAAAAAGCACCAGAGAGAAGGTGAGAGACACCTACCCCCGTCCCCTGTGTCCATGTCTTCCATGTTCCCGAGAAAGTCATCTGGTGTTCTGGGTAGACTGTAGCTTGTGCCCATTCCACCTGAAAAACATGACGACAGTAGTAGTACATGTACCTATCGTGGCGTCCGCGGCCTAGTGGTTAGGCCCTCGGACTCGCAACCGTAAGGTCACGGGTTCGAATCCCGTCAGGGGTCCCGACATGGCGTCCTTGGGAAAGGCATTTTACACGAATTTTCCTCACTTCACCCAGGTGGGAACAGGTACCCAGCTATAGACAGCGAAAGATCTTGTCCAGTTTGTTAGTGATTAACCAGCTGCTTACACTGTATGCTTCTGGGGAAGCTGAGAATGTTTCGGAGTGTTCTATGGTCTGCTGGTGTAATAATACAGTGTAAAGCACAGAGAGCTTGCTGTAGAGCAGGGGGTATGCGCTATACAAATGCTATTTATTATTATTATTGAGGACATTCTGTGAAAGACACTCATATGTTACAAACTGGCAGAATTAAACACATATGTGATATATATAAGTATAGGAAATTAATGAACCATAAACCTTGTGACATATAAAGAAAGCTGGCAGTCTGGGACACTTCAAATTTCAAAATTTATGTAGACTGTATCAAAAATTACCGTATCTTTAAAGATGCCTAATACAGGCACTATTTTTATACATTTTCCACTGAAAAAAAATGAAGAAAAAAAAAATCACTTTAAAAGACAAAACAAAAACTATTTCACTGTTCCGTACCCGACATACCAAATATTCTAGTAATAGCAGACAGGACTAAAAAATGGCTCATTTTCCAGCTCAGGATTTCCTTTTTTTCCCCTCCGATTCATCAGGGCAACTGACACCAAAGAACTATTCTGCAGCTTTTGTGGGCAGTTACGCCTTGTCAGTGGAGAACGTTTGGTCAGGTCTTTCGGTACATTCCTAGAATATTAATTTCTTTAAAACGATCCTCAAATAATAGAGATTAAACAAAGTTATAGCTCCTACTTATTACTAATATTACACCCTGCTGCAAGATAACAACACAAGTGCACACATAGTACCAAGCAGCCATTTGAAAGTCCACAACCTGCACCCTTCCACACAGGCACACACACACACACACACACACACACACACACACGCACGCGCCCACACACGCATACACACACACTTACACACACACACACGCACACAAACACACAGGCACATATACACACACACACGCATACACACACACACACACGCAAACACACACACACACGCCCATACACACATACACGCACACACACACACGCGCACCCTCGACAAACAAACACACACACACACAGAGTGAGGCAGAAACAACACCTACCCAGCCCGCTGTCTCCACTCTCCTGCCTGTGGTGGTCTGAGGTGGTAGTCTGTCCGAAGAAGGGGTCCGCTACGCTGGTCATTTCGCTGGACTGTGAGATTGCCGTGACGTCTCCGCCAGATGTACCCATGTTCTCGTTCACCTGGGCCCGGAGCGCCATCTCCTTGAGGAAGTACGGTCACATTTAGAGACACAGCTCACAACCACACTAACAAAAGTAAGCCTGCCAACATTGCCACGGCCAAAATCTGTAGCCGACACAAATTTTTGTCCAAAACTCAGTAGTTGACCTAAAAAATCCGCAGTAGGCTATATTCTGACTTGTTGCATACTTAACTGGGGACCCGTACCAATATTCTGACCCACATCAAATATATATACATTAGTTTTGTTTTAGTAGAGGTTTTACGGCGCTCGCAACTGCATAAGGTCATATGAGCGCCAAAAGATTAGAGGTGTTACACGAGAGTAACAAACATAAAAAAGAAGAAGGGGAGATAAGGACGATAGATGTTTGATAGGAAACACCAGAGCACCCACTAACCACCCACTCCTGCCAACATTGACGGGGCCAAAATCTGTAGCTTGTGGCGACTAACCTTAAGACCAAGTTGTTGAGGTGTGTTGTTGTTATGTGTAGTACGCCGCACTTGGAGTTCATGAGTAACAGTTCAGTGAAAGAGTCCAAGCCGTTCGGGTAGAATGTATGAAAGTTATGTCTCGTCCTGCTAAGACTTACATGTGTGTATGTCTCTTCATGCTACAACCTGACGGATCAATATTTTGACCCACATCAAATATATATACATTAGTGTGTCTGCGACTTCAAACAAATGTAGAAAACGACAAGAACTAAAATACATATATACATGACAAATATGAAATGGCCTCTCGGCGAGGTTTTAAAGGCCTGCTTCAACCCAACAAGACGATAAGATTTTCTCTGATGTGCGTACCCTGGACAATGAAGATGTATCTTATCTTATCTTAGTGTTAATCCTGCTGGCTGAGAAGTGCTCTCCATCCATTATTACTTTCAAAGCCCACACTATATCGATCGTTCAGTGTGTGTGATTTTCTGTGAGATCACTATAAATAATAGTTTTTGTTAACTGCCTCAGTTTACACGCTTAAAAAAACAAAAGGTGATAAGAAAACAAGCGGAACAGAGCATCGGCAGTGAACCGGTGGCACTGACCCGGTGACCGGAGTCAAAGAGTATCGGGTTACGGGGAGTGCCGCCAGCTGGCAGTTCGAGTAAGTTGGGGGTCGGTAATAACAGCCGTGAATAACAAACAAAAAAGGGGAAAGGAGGAAGAAGACCCACCTGTCTTGCAATCTCGTCTTGCCTCTTCTTCAAAAGTTCCTGCTCCATCTGAAGCTGCTGGATTTTCAGATGCTTAAGCTGCTCCTGCTGAGGGCTAATGGGACCGCTGGAAAGTTGCTGTTGCTGCTGCTGCTGCTGTTGTTGCTGCTGCTGCTGCTGAAACTTCATCCCCGGTCGCTGCAAATGAACAGCTGAAAAAAAAAAAAAATCATAAATGAACACTAAGCATGTTCATACCTTCTCATCCGTTCAAAATGAAAGACAGTTGCTTTCAGCTATCCACAGACGACAAAATGGAGAGTAATCTAATACTAGGACAACTGTATACAGGGTGTCCAAGAAGTCGCGCACCATCCAAAAAATCTCATTTTTCTCTTTGTCCATGCCCTCTTGACAAATTGAGACATGCAATCACAATTGAGTGTCACAACATCCATCCAGATACCTAAAGGAAAGTTAAAAACAGCTTTCTGCTGAGAGTAGAGAGCTGTACTAATGAAAACTGTGCTCAATTTGAGCATCTGTAACAATAAGTGGGTTTTTAGGATGGTGCATGACTTTTTGGACACCCTGTAAAAATATTTTATGCCGTGGCCAACACAATATACACTTCTGAAACTTTGCTTGACAGTATACCCCGGCTGAGAGGGATACAGTAGCAACCAAAAAGAAAAACAGAGCCCCCCCCCCCCTCCTGTGACTCTGTATATTCTTTGCACATATAAAAAACATGTACATGACTAAATTCATATGACATGAAAAGATTTTCATATATCCCGCCGACTTCGCTATGTGCAAGCTATAGACTATGCTAAACTTGAGAAAATTGTTTAATTATCTCAAGAGCTGTAAAAAACCAAAGGGATCAGGGATTCTCTTGTGCCTATACAATGTAATACACGACTTATCCAGATAGGATACCAAAGAGCTTCCCAGATGAAAGAACTGACACCACACACTTAATTTTTACGACATCCTGAACATATATGTAATGACGAGGTAGAATCAGGCCCTCGTCAATTTTGGGGCATGTGGAGTTATTGGTATCATCTTAAAGCTTGTCCATTTGCCCTGCTTTTGATGAAAACAATATCCATTTATCCTGGATACAAGTCAAGATATTGGTGATTGAAAGAGGTGGAAGTCGCCTGTTTTCAGAGGTAAAATTAGCGGGAAAATGGCCGCAACAGTTGAGTTATTTCCTTAGCTTGAGAGCCCGTGGAAACTGAAAATTTACATCTTTTATGCCGTATATCAATGTTTTTCAGTACAATCCACACAGAAATGTGTTCTTTAATGGTCATAAAAGGAGTTGAGCTAAAAAACAAAAAATCGATACTCCTAAACCTGCTGAAAAATGCCAGTTTCTTCACTTTCATTATTTTGACGAGCGCTTCACCACGCTGCCTCACATATAAGAAAGCAAATCCTGCGACTCACGTATTGAGGGATGAAACCAACTCGTGGTGCGGTCAATGTGATTGATGAAATAGACCTCGCAGTCTGCGGTGAACGCTCTCTCCCAGCCCGGTGGGAGAGGGACCTTGTCCACATTGACAGGCGTGGAGTTGGGAGCAGGCTGACTGGAGGGAGCAGGGCTCCCAGTCTGCGGAGAACTGTTGAGGTTGCTGGTGTTGTTGTTATTGTTGTTGTTGTTGCTGCTGCCGCTAGGGGCCGTTGTGCCAGGGGTGTGAGTTTTGCGGGGGTCATTCCAGGTCGTTATCTGTAAGACGTGGCTGTGGAAACAAACA